GAGCTGGGGAAGGGTAGGGGTGCTGCTGGCCTTGCCTCCTGGTTAGAGGGCAGATCACTCCCTTACAGGAGAAGAGAAAGGACCTTACAGACTTACAATTTGAAAGGACAGGAGAGGGGTAGGAGATAGGGGCTGAGGGCCTGCACTTCCGGGTATGAGGGAGGGGAGGTCCAGACTGAAGATTCCATCCTGAGCTTCTCCCCCTCCCTTGCTGCCCATAGAAGTGGCTGGTCCTTGTCTGGCTGCCCCTGAGAGGCTGCTAGGCACCATGGCAGGATCCCGTTTCCTGACCCTGCTGGTTCTCCTGCTGAGCTCAGCCCTGGTAACTGCTCAGTGGGATCGTGTAGACTCTTCTGGGGCCCACACCGAGGGTCACACTCACCAGGGAGACCGTCCGACTCACCAGGGAGACGGTCACACTCACCAGGGAGACCGTCCGACTCACCAGGGAGACAGTGAGTCTGAACCTCCCCTGCTGGAGAGCTTCCATCCGGGAAAGGCTGGGCTGGGCGGCTCTGCTCCTTCTTTCTGCTTGTCTCTGCCTCCTCCTTCTCTGTGCACACCGAGCCCTGCCTCTGCCTCGAGGAGCCTCCATCTGTCCCCACGCCCGGCCCCAAGGGTGCTCCTCAGAGCTTTGCCCCTTGGTCCCTCCCATGCCCAAATGTCATGTTCTCTGCCCTCCTCTGCTTCGTGGTCTCTGCTTGTGTCCCTGTCTCTCTGCCTCCCTGATGCTGGCTACCCACATATCCCTGTGTCCCTGTATAGGTGAGGGTGACAGAAGCGGGGACAGGATCATTGATGGCTACAGGTGTAAATCAGGCTCCCACCCATGGCAGGTGGCCCTGCTGAAAGGCAGCCAGCTGCACTGCGGCGGCGTGCTGGTCGGCAAGCGCTGGGTGCTCACAGCTGCCCACTGCAAGATGGGGTAGGTGTGGCGCAGAGGCCAGCTGGGCGAGGTGGGGAGCCAGTGCCCCCTCCCTCGTCACACTCTCCCTCTGAATGTCACTGCCTTCTTCCAGCCAGTACACTGTGCAGCTGGGTAGTGACAAGCTCGGTGACAGCAGAGCTCAGAAGATTAAGGCCACACAATCATTCCGCCACCCGCGCTACTCCACACAGACCCATGAGAATGATATCATGATGGTGCGGCTCGATAAGCCAGCCAGGATGTCGTCCAGTGTGAAAGCCGCCAGCCTGCCCACCCACTGCGAACCTGCTGGGACCTCATGTTCCGTCTCTGGCTGGGGCACCACAACCAGCCCACAAGGTGACGCTGCTTCAGTGACTCAGGGTCCAGGCCCAGCCTCCTCCCTCAGACCCAGGAGTCCAGGCCTAGCCTCTTCCTCTAGATCCAGGCCCCAGCCCCTGGACCGTCATTCCCCAACGCCCAGGCCCACAGCCCCTTGGTACTTGGGCTACCCTCTGCCAGTCCCAGACATCTGAGTGACAGCCCTCCTTCCCTGTCCCACAGTGACCTTCCCAGCCATGCTCATGTGCACTGATGTGAACCTCATCGCCTCCAACGAGTGCAAAAAGGTATACAAGGAACTGCTGGGGGAATCCATGCTGTGTGCAGGCATCAAGGGCTCCAAGACCAACACCTGCAACGTGAGCTTCTCCTCCCTGCCCCGGCCTGTCTCTGACTGGCAGCCTGGCCTGCTGTCCTCTCAGACTCTGCCTCCTCCGTCTCTCTCGCTCATCCTCTGTGGGTTCAGGTGCAGGAGCGTGTCAGGGGCTGCTGAGGTCTGAGCATGGGCAGAGTTTCCTGTGGCTGAAAAAGGAGGGATGGAGCTAGGTTAGGGGATTGAGGGCCCTGCCTCAGACCCAACCCTTCATGGGACACCAAAATCCCAGTGAATGAAATAAACTACATTCTGGACCCTCTTGGGCCCCCCTGGTCCTGGGGATGGAGCCCAGGGCTTTTGCACTGAGCTATATCCCAGCCCTTTTTTATTTTTTACTTTGAATCAGGGTCGCATTAAGTTGCGAAGTTGCCTAGGCTGGCCTCACACTTGCAATCCCCCTGCCTCAGCCTCTCACAGTGTGCGGATTTCAGGCATTCCCTGCCACATCTGGCTTCTCAGCAATATATTTTAAGAAACTGATGCAAAAAGTCTGCTATGAGCCAAAGATCATAATTTAAGGAGTGGCCCGGTCTTACTGATTCCTCCTCTTTCCTCAGGGCCCGGTGTGGCTCAGCACAGCACAGTACTCGTGCTGTCTTCACTTTACACTTTGTTTGCTACGTCCAGCCTGCTGGGGGTTTTTTCTTTTGTTTTGTGTTTTGGATTGCATTTGATTTTGTTTTATTGTTTTTTTGAGACAGATCTCGCTTTGCAGTTCAGGCTGGTCTTGAACTCACTATGTAGTCCAGGCTGGCCCTGAACTCACAGGGATCCTCCCGCCTCAGCCTCCCAAGTGCTGGGATTACAGATGTGCGGTGCTACATTTGACTTTTAAATCACTGCACTGAAGTATTATTTATGGTGCTTTCTGAGGATTTTCTGACTGATGTGAATGCCTCACTTGTTGTTCTGGTCCTGGCGGTAGGATGGTCTCTTCTGCTCCTCTTTGGGCCTACTTCATCTGAAGTCACACCCTCTACTCCCCCACCCCCCAACCCCCACGTCCCCACCCCATCTCTGTACATTTTGCCACACCTTTCTCTGTAGGCCTGATTTCATTTCATTCTTTCCCTCCTTGTTGTCTCTGTGTGTTGGTGTCTCCCTCTACCCTGTCTCCGCCCTCTGAGGGAGGTGGGGCGGTGTCTACTAGGGATGAAGGCATAGGAGAGAGATGCCTGTCCTGGAGAAACCCAGGGAGGCTGCTTCATGAACTTGGAGCAGTGGCCCAGAATCTGCCACTCAGAAGCTCCAGGGCTCGGTTTAATGCACTCCTGTTACTGTCTCAAAGTCCTTAGTGGTTTGGGGACAAGGAGTTACATATTTTTTGCTAGGAGCTCTGTAAATGATGTCATAGCTTCTACCCTTGGTTTCAAAGATCGCCCTGCCCTTCCCTCTCCTGCGCTAAGGGCGCACACCCACCCCTTAGGGAAGATGCTCTTCCTCCACTGGCTTGGACAAAATCTTTCACCAAAAACTTTATACTGAAAATGACAATGAAGGAATCTCTGGAAGCCCCACCCCTTTCCTGTGATCATTTCCATTGGCCAGGACTCCACCAATGTCTGCACAGAATCTGGTTTGTCCATTCCAAGATAGTACTAATTCATGCTTTCCCATTGGTTCCTAGAGACAATGAGTCTCTTCTTATTGGTCAGGGTGGCCTAGAAGGACAAACACTGAACAGGGGAATGTATAAGACTGAGTTGGGGTAAGGGATTTGCTCTGCAGCCAAAACTGATCTGCTGTGTTCCCTGCAGGGTGACTCAGGGGGACCGTTGATGTGCAAAGGTACCGTGCAAGGTATCGTGTCCTGGGGAACTTTCCCTTGTGGCCAACCCAATGACCCAGGAGTCTACACGCAAGTCTGCAAGTATACCAACTGGGTGAAACAGACCATGAGAAGGCATTCCTAATGCACCACCAGGAGTCAACTCACTGCTCCTGGCAGGAAACTCACAGAAATAAGGGCTTTGGTGACCTCTAAATTCATATTTGACTTCATCTTTCCTTGGAGACATAGTAAAAACCTCAAAAAACACAAGCCAAAATAGCATGGACTTAAAACCAAAACAAGTAAAGAAAAGAGAAACCTCAGGGCTTTGGAAAATGCGATGAGACCGGCATTCTCAAATCCTGGATCTGGGAATTCATTCAGTCTCCATGCGGGTGGTTTGTTATCATGAGCGGGAGGCCATCCTTCACTGCCTTTGATCTAGTCATTCTAATTCTAGGAAGAGAGTGCTAAAAACAAAAAAGGTACCAAATGTGGAGCAAGAGTTGAATTCATTGCATTATTTGTTGTAGCAAAAGAGGGAAGAAATATGGAACCTGTTCTGGAGTAAATAGGTCAATTTGTTTAAGGTCACAAGGAAGCCATTAAGAGTAAGACCTAGGCAGAACTGTGAGTGTTGCATTTGTTCGTGCTATCAGATGTTAAATGGAGCAAAGAAGCTACAAAAGAAAAATGTATGTGATCCTGTGAGTGATACACTTGGAATAAAGTTGGAGAGGATATGTACCGATTGCATGTGGTGTTGGCCTTAGAGGTCTCCTTCTTCACAGTGACATTGCCATAGATGTGCACTTTCATACCTGGGAAAGTAAAGGGGGGAAAGCTCTGGGGAATCTAAGGCTGGAGGGAAGAGACCCTTGAGGGACGGGTGGAGGTCAGAAAGAAACTGCATCTGGTTTTGAACCTAGAGCTGCCTCACTCTTCTATGATGTGCTTCTTTCTGCTCCTGGGTCTCAGTTTTCCTCATCTGTGAAACTGGAAAAAGAAAGAGAAAGAAAGGGTAGGAGAGAGGAAGGGAGGAGAAGATACGCCTTCCTTTTCATAGTGATGTGAGAGTGTTTCTGAGCATCTCACAGCTGACAGACAAGTTCAGAGAGGGGTTGGGGATGGCAGGTAGTCAGGTGTCCCGGCCTGTGGGTACAGTCAAGGAGGACCCTAGAGGGGGAGTGGGGATGGTAAAGGGACAAGAGACATGAAGAATGGAGACAAGACAGGATTCTGATCAAGTCTCATTTATTGGCGGGAAGTACTGTGTATATATAGGGCACGGGGAAATGCAGAAGTTCTTATGGTGGGAGTAACCAAGTAACTGGACAAAGGTGGGAGTAGCTAGGTAACGGTGGGCAGTCCTGACTTAAAGGGAAAGGTGCATCTTCGGGGAAGTAGGCAGGATAACAGAAACTTATCTCAGACAACAGAAACTTAATGCTTAAGACGGCTACTAATATACAATGGAGGTCAGTCACAGGTCTCCCACAGTCAGGGTATTAGAGTCCCACAGGGTCTAAAGAAAGTCAGCAACCAGTGTCCCAGGACCAGAGGAAGACAGTGGCTGGGAAGTAGGGGAATAAGGAAGGGATTTTGGAAGGGAAGAAGGAGGAGTCCGTTGTGACTCAGAGCCTGGCCACAAGCCTCACCATCAGAGATCTCTGGGCGGTTATACCACAGACGTTGTTGACACAGGGATCCACTCCAGTGCAGGACCTGTGCTTCCTACCAGCGATTCCTGCTTCTCTCCAGTTCCTTCCCCGCCATCCTCCAGGTGCTTCCTCTCAGCTAATGTCCCCAAATCTCTCCTGATCCACCCTCCACCCTTAACACCCCATAGTCTGCAGCCGCTGATCCAGGGCACATGGAACACTAAAAGATGGAAGAGCCCAGCCTCCTTGCTCAGACCTGGGGGTCCAGGCCCAGCCTCCTCCCTCGGACTGCCCTCATCTAGACCCAAAGCACTTCCTTTTTCGGATGTTGGTGTCCAGGCTCCAATCCTTGTTTCTGTGGGCCTTTGTGAAATGTAAAGAATGCCGTGGAATCTTGCCTTACTTCCCATGAAGCTCTATCAGCTTCCCTCTCTCCTGCCAGGATCCCAAATCAATACTCAGTTTAACACTGTAAAAAGTAACAAGACAACCTTTATGCTAATCCACTCCGTAAGCTCACTGTCCTCTTCTTTCTTCTTTTTTATACAAGTTCAAGGTGGGTTGGCTTGCAACGACCTGAGATATACTCATACTGAAATTTTTAGCCTTGTTTCTAGATTCAACTCCCAGTTGTAGCGCTTGCTGAGTGCGTGTGTGCGTGAGCAGGCGCATGCGCTGTGGATGGGGAACTTCAAACTCCTCCCACAGTGCTTCCTGCACGCTAAGCATTTCCTGTATCACTGAGCTACACCCCAGCCCCACTGTCTTCTCTTGCTGCATCACTTCCACACCCCTATTTCTTCATCCCGGAAATGGGAGAAAAATCACCTATTTCACAGGCTTATTATGAAGATCAACTAATATGCACAAAATGCTGGAACACTGACACAAAATAAGCCTTCAACAGATACTGGTTCTCATTGTGTGGGACTTCTGGCATTTCTCGTGTGTGTGCTCTCAGGAAATTTCCTTATTAAACAATGTCTGTGCTCAAGCCTTTTGCACAGCAAGTCACTTTGGAAGGAAATGCCTGGCAAGTGAGCATGTGTAGCCTGTGGAGATGGTAAGACCACGAAATCCTCTGTTGGATGTCACGGGGAAATGGGCGGAGTTGGGGGTTTCATCCTCACCCTTAGAAATTCCTCTGCTCCCTCTGGCCTACCACCTTCATCCTTTTCCCACACTGCTCTAGTCAGTTCCTCCTGGGCACATCCACCTCCTATTGTAGTGAGATAGGCCCAGAGGGTCACCATGAAAGGAGCCGTATCCCAGACCATGTTGGAAGCTGAGTTTAATTCAGGGTCTACCACCGGTCCCTGAGAGTGGACCAAGTACTGCAAGCATGTACACAGGCAAGGCTTTATTGGGTGTAGGGGTCTTTAGCTGAGGGGAGTCTGCATTGACGGTGAGAGGGACCAAGCTGCTCTCCAGAGAAGGCGAGAAGCAAGCTTTTACTGATCTCTTGGGATGTATTAAAGCCAAGTCAGTTTCCACTGGCCAGAGGCACAGTTCCAAAAGGTGTTCCTTCTTGTGTAAGATTTGGACCATGGGATGGTCACAGTCAACTTTGGAGCTGGCACCAGCATCCCAGGCAAAGCATCCCAGCCTCTTGCACCTGGGCCCAAGGATAGGGTCAAAGAACTTCAGGTGCTCAGGTTGCTATGGCAGTTGAAGAAGAACCAGGGTCGAGACAGAAAAGAGAAAAAAAAGACAGAAAAACAAAAACACATAACCAGTTCCAGGGGGCAAACACCATGTCTGCACTGCAGCTCTGAGTAGAATCTGAGCCAAAGGTTAGGCAGCAAAGGGGACAGACACAGAATGAAGACAGAGATGCCAGGCCTTCTCCACTTGTTTTAGTCACCTATCCAGCATTTGCAGCCCCTACATGGAGGGACAGGGGTCTCAGCCAAAGCAACCCCACAGTAACCCAGGTATTGTAGTCAGGGTTTACAAGGGAAAAGATTTAATACAGGGCACATAATTTGGAGGTTTATTTTATAATATTCACCCAAACAGTCAAATATGGAAGAGTCTGTGCACACATCAGAGACCCAAAGAATCCAGCTCAGGGCCTGGATGCCACAGCAATGTTTCTCACGAGTACAGCTGAGCACCTAGAGCCCACGGCAATGCCTCCCATGAGTCCAGCTGGAGGCCTAGAGCCCACAACAATGTCTCACGCAAGTCTGTATGAAGGACCTGCGCTGGGAAGGTGCAAAGGTCAATGGTGGGAGCCAGAGAGTCTGCACCAGCAGGTTGAAGGATCTGTGCCAGCAGGCTGAGGGATCTGCACTGGAGCCAGGAAGCAACGCTCAAGGTAAGAACCAGAGCTTCCCTGAAGAGAACCACAGCCATTGTCAGTGACAGTGAGGACCTGAGCTCCTCTGACAGTGAGAATAGCTGAGTTCATATCAGGAAAGCCAGTGTGACGAGCTTCTCCAAGAAAATCAACAGCACACCGTCTTCCTTCCCCTCCAGTTCTATTTTTACGCTGTTGGCAATAATCCTCAGGCGGGCCTTCCACACCCAGCACCACACGGAGTCAGTTCGGTTCGATGTTACATGTTGACCATTAGTTAATCCACTACACCAGGAGAGCATTACCATGGCCTGCATATCACAGATGTCACGACAGCAGTCTAGTGGGGAACTAAGATTGCCTCACCCAACTGCGCAGCCTCCAACCTGTGAATTGACTAAAAGCAAGTGAGGCTAGAGGGTGTAGCCAGGCCTTTCTTGGTAACTATTTTATGCAGTATTTTGCCTCCGTGTTTTCACCAGGGTATTTGATAAGTCTGTTGAAAGAATCCAAGGACGGAGAAGCAACATACCATGCTACAAAGGGTGACAATTTATTGTGCCCAGGGGCTTATTTTATTGTCCCTGACATTTCTTCCACCATGGTGGTCCCTGACCCTCTCACCGCTTGCTGGCTGTTTGATGTTGAGCAATGAACCTCCTTCCTCTAAACCTCAGTTGTCTTATCTGCAAAACAGGAGTGGGTGTAATGAAGTCATTTAGTCATTGGGTCAACATTTCCTGATGTTCTTCTGGGCCGGGTCCTCCAGAGGTCCTCAGAAGACAGCTGAGTCAGCCCCAGCGCCTGCGCTCAAGAAGCTCCAGGTGCAACGAGGGAGGTTGCATCCGGATGTCAATTCAGATGGCCCTGGTCCAGGGTGACTGCAAGGAGGCATCTGCCCGTGAGCCCGTATGACAGTGACTAACCCAACCGCAGCAGGTGGAGGCTGACAGTGTTCCGGGAAGGCTTCCTGTAGGAGGCCACGTCCAGGGAAAGACTGGAAAGACCAGGGGTTACTGTCAGGAAAAGGTAGGAAGAGCATTCCACCCGGAAGAAATATCGTGCATGAAGGACCCAAGGTCAGAAGTACAGCATTGCCTGGCACTGCTCAGGGACACTTACTGTGGGCTGGAGGCTGGAGGTGGATGACTAGGTGATACGGCAGCCACTTATCATCCACGGCCTGTGATGGCCGCAAATGTGTTCCTGCTGAGAAATGTGTGAGTGGAAAAGACACAACAGATCCCAAGCACTTAGGATGGCAGAAAATAAGGCAGATGATCCCTGTGCTATTTTTCTTACTATAATTTCATGTTGAACTCATAATAATTTGAATAGCTTAAGTTATATGAAATATTAAAATGAATTCTTCTTTTGTGTGTGTGTGGTACTAGAGATTGAGCCCAGGTCCTTTGCACTGAGCTACATTCCCAGCATTTATTTATTTATTTATTTATTCACTCATACGCAGGGTCTCACTGAGTTACTAAGTTGCCCAGGCTGGGCTCAGGCTTGCAAACTTGCAATCCTCCTACCTCATTCTCCCAGAGAGAAGGGATTATTACAGACCTGGGCCACCACGTTCAGCTTCTGCCCATTTCTTTGTACCTTTTCTCTTTCTTTCTCTGACATACATCTTTAAATATTTAAATATATCTACAAGGTGCGTACAGTTACGGTACACAGCGTGATGTTTGGCTAAAGGTATCTATACACTGGGGCACAACTAAGTCAAGCTAGCTAACATATGCATTGTCCCCACATACTTCTTTTCTCTGATAAGAACACTCAATGCCTTTTTGTAATTTTTTCTTCCTTTCTGTTGCTGGGGATAGGACCGAAGGCCTTGTGGAAACCAGGTGAGAGTTCTGCCCCTGAGCCACATGCCCAGCCCCTTAAAAACAGAAAAGAAAAGAAAAGAAAAATACCCTTGGGACTGCTAGGAACTGCAGGTGCGCAAGGGCCCTGGTCTCGAGTTGCTCTTGGATGGCGCTTCTCTGGGTGCTGAGGGTGCTCCAATACCTGGTTGAAGGCTAGGACTGTCTCTCCCTGTCCCTAGGGCTGGGAGAAGCAGGGGGCAGGTCAGGGGCAGGCTGGGGCAGGACAGCCCTTGGGTCCACTCAGGCATACAGAGAGTGAGGGGTGCCCAGGGGATGGCCTGATGGGAGAAGAGCAGGTCTGAACTAGGTCCAGGAACACGGGGACAGAGAAGAGGGGGCCCCACAGAGAAAAGAGGCAGTGAGACAGGTTTGGGGACCAAGTGGGCCTACGGCCTCCAGCTCCGTGTCCGGGGGGAAGGTGGGTTACAAAGAAGACACGTGTGCAGTGGGGACCAATCAGGAAGGGCCCATCCTGAGGCTCATGGGGCTGAGCAACCTAAGGTGACAATTAGACTTGATGCAAGGACAAAAAAGGTTACCTGAGGTACCAAACCCACGCAGGGGCTGATGCAGACATTATTCATCTCCATTGTCCTCGTTACCCAACCATTGCCCCACAAGCCCCTGTCTCGCTTCTCCTCCACTCTGACGTCAAGACATCCCCCCTCCACCCGGCCACACCTTCACCCCGCATTCCACACTGACCACTGCCCCCTTCCCCCAGCCCCGCCTGCCGGGTGTTCTCACACCTTCTCCTCTTGACCAACACCTGTCTCTGCTCTCCGGGCCCAAGTTCAAAGGCATCTCTGCAGATCCTGCAGCCCTGATTCTCATCCCACTCCGTGGCACTCCCCAGCCCGCCCCCCTCTCCTGTGTCCCTGCTGCTGTCCGTACATCTCTCCCTGTGTGCATGGACCTCCGAGGTGGGTCCTCAGATTCTCCGGCACCCCACTAGCTTCCCCTTGGCTTCTGCACCATCCTTTCCAACGCCAGGAGCCCAGCTGCAGTCTGCAAACGCATCATGCAGTGAATGTTTAAGTTAAATAAAATTTATGGCAGTAAAAGACACATTACCACGAACCGCCCCCCTCAAAACACTCATCTCCTTGCTTCCCACACACTTATCCCATCGTTCCTGCCACATTCTGAAGAAGTTCCGGAAGTCCTCCTTCCTGAGTATTTTTACTAGGTGTGATCAAAAATACAGTGAATGCTGCTGCCTAGTGCCATTGAGCAGAAATGCAGGCTGGTAAAAATATTACAGTGCGTCTTTGTCTACTTTCTTCGCTCATGGAAAAGGACTTCCAGAACTGTCCCAGAAAGTGACCAGGGTGGGATGATTGTGCTTGAAACAAGGGGGAGATTGTTTGGATACATGGCGATGCATCTTTCATGGTAATAAATTTTAAAAATTTAAACATTTATCTTATATTATCATCATTCCTGTTTCCCCAGGAAGTTATAGGCAACTCAGGGAAACATCATTACAGAGAACCAGAGAATCATGGGGAAAGAGGGAGTGTGATAGAGACAGAGAGAGAGGAAAAGCTGGAGAAAGAGGAAAGGGTAAAAAGAGAAAAACAAGAGCTTGAGATGAACAGATAGAGCGTGTAACATGCAGACACCGTCACTGCGGCCAGGAAGACGGATCCAGAGACCCGGAGGTCTTGGAGGCAGACTTGGAGGCCAGGGACCAGGAGAGTCGAGAGTTCCAGAGGACAGGGCTGGGCCAGGTGGGTAATCCAGAGACCACAGCAGGAAGCCAGGAACAAAGGGAAACCATTGACACAGCCTCCTGCCCGGCCTGAAAAAGAGGCTAGAAGTGGGACTGCCGGGAGCCTGGCACTGCGGTGGCAGCTGACAAAGCCCGATTGTCCGAGGGCCCTTTCCCCACAGCTCTGGGCCCCTCCCCAGCCTGGTGCAGAGGCGGGGGCCAGCTTGGTGCCACACCCTTTCTCGTTGGCTGTTCGCACTTTCCCGGGGACACGAAGGTCAGAGGCACCCACAGAGGGACTTACAGACAGGTGAGTCACCCAACCCTACTGAACCAAGGTGGCAGGTTCCGGTCCTGAGTGCCGCAGACCCAGGAATGTGCGCTCACAAATCCCAGCGCAGTCACAAGCAGGAGGGCGACCCTGAGAGATGGGCAAAAGTCAGCTCCTTTCCAAAAAACCTAAAATTCTACAACTAAGGAGAAGGAGCTCCTATCTTCTCTCAGACCCAGGAGTCCAGGCCCTGCCTCCTCCCTCAGACCCCAGGGTCCAGGCCCGGCCTCCTCCCTCAGACCTGGGGGTCTAAGCCCAGCCTCCTCCCTCAGATCCGGGAGTCCAGGTCCGGGCTTTTCCCTCAGACTTGGGGGTCCAGGCCCAGAAAGCAGGAATCTGCTCCTTTGCCTGCAGCATGGTCAGGGGTCACTGGGGCAGAAGGAATGTGAGTGGGTGGCCTGGGTTAGGAAAAGGGAGGGACCTGGGGAGACAGGGGTTAAAAGGAAGTGCAAGGAGCGTCCAGACACAGAACCAGCCTCTCCTGGGAGGCCGCAAACAAGCAAGCGCAAGCATCCCTGTAGCCTGTCCCAGACAGGCTTTCTGCTCGGCTGTCCCTTCTCCCTCTGCTCTCCCTGCGGCTGCCTGCACTGCTCACTCTCGGCTCCCCACCTGCCTGCAATCAGGGGCTCTCCCTTGCCCCATCCAGGAACTCTGTGACCAGCAGGCAGCGGGCGCCAGCAGGTAAGAGTACAGGAGCGCAGACCACAGGCATGGACAGGGTGCCGGGTGTGCACCAAGCCCAGGTGCAGAGCAAGAGTCTCCTAGGCAGCAAGAGGCCAGGGCCGGAGGCCAAGCTCCAGAGAGCAGAGCTGGTGGGAAGAAGGAGAGGATGAGGAGGGTTGGGGGGTGGTGTCTGGGAAGGCAGAGACACTGACTGCTGGGGCCTCTGGCTTCCCTGCAGGAATGGCCTTGAAGACGCTGACAGTGGTGCTGGTTCTCCTGGCTGGAGGTGGGAAGAAAGGAATTTCGGTGGTGGTGAGGGGGGTTGGCTGCCTGGGGAGTGGGGGCTGCTGGCTGGGGAAGAACATGGGATGGGGTGGGATGTGAGGCTGGCTTTGACATGAGGAAGTCGGGTATTTGCTCAAGGATGGAGGAAGACGGGAACAGGATGGGGAACTGGGCTTGGAGATCAGAGCTTAGGCTTGAAGGGTGGGATTGGAGACGGGAGGAGGAGGAAGCAGGCTGAGGCTGAGGATGAGGATGAAGATGAGCACGAGGACAAGTAGGCACAGAGCTGCATCTGCGGTGGGCGGGGACGGAGCCAGGCTGGGTCGGGCTCCCCTCAGTGGACCTGCCTGGTGTCTCTGTTTCCTCTCTGACTCAGACTCTCCTTACAGCCCTTGCAGAGGAGCAGGAGAAACTGGTGCACGGCGGACCCTGCGATAGGCACTCTCATCCCTACCAAGCTGCCCTCTACAGCTCGGACCACTTGCTCTGCGGCGGGGTCCTCATTCACCCAGAGTGGGTGCTCACGGCTGCCCACTGCAAAAAAGAGTGAGTGTCTACGCCTCGGGCAAGGGCAGATGCAATGAGACCCCACAGCACCCTGTAGGCTTCAGGCAGGAGGTGGACACAGCAGGGACACCGACATTCTCCGGTGCTCACATCCCTCCTGTAAAATACATAGTATTTGCATATAGCCTGCATCCACCCTTCCAGATATTTTAAATCATCTCTAGACTACTTAGAATACCTGAGACAATACAAATGCTATGCAAATGGTGACTGTGGGAAACGGTAAGAAGAAAATCTATACACAGCACAGAAGCAGTATTTTCCCAATATTTCCCACCCACAGTCCATTGTTTCCCTGGATGCTAAACCCCCAGATAGAGACCTGGCTGTGCCACTTAAGTCAGTGGAGAGGAAATAACGCAGAGCAAGCAGAACCTTGGTTTTCAGGAACTTGCCTTCCAGTGAGGAAATGGGATCGTCCTGCAGGCATGATAGGGTTAGGCTGTAGCTGGGAATCCACAAGACCTGGAGTCCAGCTCTGAGAGCACTTTGCCTGTCGCATGGAAGGAGAAGGGGCAAGAGGCAAAGGAGGGAGATCCGTGTCAAGGCTGTGCAGTAATCCAGAGGCCAAAGATGTCGACTTGGGCCATGGAGGTGGCAGTGGACTTGGGAGTTGCTTGGAGACGGAGCCAGCGGGATGTGGCAGTGAGGGACAGGAGGGGAGGAGGGACAGCAGCGGACCTCCAGGTGTCTGTGCCGCACGCCGGGGTGTTCTGTCACATCTGTCTGAGTCAGGGACAGGAGAAGAGAAGCAGGCTGGGTGTGCAGAGGGGAACAGGAGACATTTTGCTACAGCCAAGGGGAGCTTCAAGTCCCCAGGAAACATCCAAGCATGGGCACCAGGGAGGCTGTTGGCACTTGGGGAGCCCTCAGAGCTGCAGGTCGAATTAAGGCACCATCAACAAACAGGTCTTACTGAAAGCCACGGGACTGGGTGAGATCATCCAAAAAGCAGGTGCAGACAGAGGAGCACAGAGGACCAGGACTCACGCCTAATAGTCTGCAGATGACCACAGTTCCACGGGCCAGGTGCTAAGTTAAGCAGTCTAGGTTCCTCTCTTGGAATCCCCACAGTGAGTGACTCTTGCTGCCCCTCTGCAGAGGAGGAAACGGAGGCTCAGAGAAGTAGCCAGTGACAACTCTAGTATTTAGAAACTACTCTTCTCCGTGGGGATGGGCCTTGTCATGTAAAGTCTTGGACTCAGACCCATAAGCAGTGTCCCTAACACTTTGGGGCCTCAAAGTGGGGACTTACAGACAAGAGAGTCACCCAACCCCACTGAACCGAGGGGGCAGGTTCCAGTCCCGAGTGCAGCAGACCCAGGGATGTGCACTCACAAGGAAGGTGTGATTGCCTGGAGCAACCACAAGCAGGAGGGTCACCCTGAGAGGTGGGCAAAAGTCAGGTCTTTTCTCAAAAGCCTAAAACTCTACAACTAAGGAGAAGGATCTCTTATTTTCTCTCAGACCCAGGGGTCCAGGCCTGGGTCCCACTCCTACCATACTATTCCTTCAGTGGGTACTCAGGGCCTGGGAGCCCCACCAAGTGCCAGATTGGAGCAGGTGGTGGTGCCTCCACTGGGGATGACAGAGACGCACACCCTGCCCTCAGTCAGACCCAGGCAGAAAGATGAAGCAAGGTAGCTCTTTAAGGAGCAGATCTTCAAAATCTCATGTAGTTACAATTTACTTTCAAGTCCAAAAAAAGGTAAATAAAACAGGGGACTTCTGATGAAGGAAGTCAGGAGAGATTTCCCAAAGAGATGAGAAATGGAAGAGTCACCAAGTGAAGAAGCGGGCAGGGTGTTCACAGCAGGGGGACACAACAAAGCCCACACTGAAAGGTTTTCAGCCCTCTAAGAGAAGAGAGTGACCAGTTCCCTGGTGGGACAGGTCCAAATCACACAGGGGCACCAAAGCCAGGCTTCTGAGCAAGGGAGAAATGCTTTGATTTGTTTCAGAAACATTTATGAAACACCCACCAGATGCTGGTTCTGCCAGAGGGGATTCTGTATCTGGGAAAAAACAGAAAATCCCCCATCTTGACCTCCTAACATCATAGCCATCATCCACATGTAGTAACTAAATTAAAACGAAGGAAGTGGAATGAAAAGAGAAGCCCACCTGTGGCTGGCGGTCACCAAGCTGGGCGGTGCAGCTAGGGAACCTGCTGTCATGGTGGGAAGTTTCATTGGGCAGTAATGCTCTGGGAGGAGGAGACACCAGAAAGTAGGTGAATATTTGGCAATAAATATATAGCAGGGCCAATGGTGATAACATACTCTGGTAGAAAAGAAAGCAGGGCAGGAGCAGGAATTGCCTATCGGTGTGGGCATTTGCATTTTAGTTGGACACCCAGGGCAGGCCTTGCTGATGAGGTGACACCTGAAGGAGGTGAGGGTTGCATGGTGCAGAGGCAGATGCCTGAGGAGCAGTCGCTGGTGAGGGAAGAGCAGTGCAAAGGCCCTGCGGTGGGAAGACCACTGTTGTGTTCAAGGAAAGGCAGGAACACCAGTGTGGCTGAAGTGAAGAAGAGGGGCAGCAGGAGAAGGTGACACTTAAGAGGTGGTAGGGACAGGTGTAAGACCTTGTGTGCCATGGTGGGAACTTCTGCTTTTCCCTGTGTGATATAGGGCTAGGAATCAAATGGGTTTCCAGACAGGATGTGGGATGTGAATTAAGACAGTCAAGAATAGCGCCAAGGTTGTCCTGGAAGGATGCCATTCCATCAAGCCTAAGTGGAGAAGGACTGATGAGTCATGACTCCTCAGCCTCCTCTGAAGTCTCAGCTATAGCCCAGGGCTCCAGGTGAAACCCAGCCCATCTCCCTCCCAGGAAGCTTCACATCTACCTGGGGAAGCACAGCCTTCGGAACTCATTGAATACAGAGAAGATTTCTGTGGTCAAGACTGTGGTCCACCCTGGCTTCAATCCTGCCACCCATGACCAGGACATCATGTTGTTGCGTCTGTCAGAGCCTGCCAAGCTCTCTGACCTAATCCAGCCTCTTGCCCTGCAGAAGGACTGCCGGGCCAGATCGACCAGCTGCCACATCCTGGGCTGGGGCAAGACGGAAGAAGGTCAGTAAGGGGAGGTGGATGGGGCGGGCTCGCCATGATGAGGGGCGGAGCAAGGGGTGAAGAGTCAAAGAGGAAGGCCGGACAGCAGGGAATGTGCGTAGGAAGCTGGGTGAGTGGTGAAGACCAGTGCGACTGTGTACCAATGTGGAGAGTCAAGGAGAGAGGGCGGAAATTTAGGAGCTGGGCCTCTGAGTAAAGAGCCAATGGCCAATAGATGGGCCATTCAGGGAAGGGCCAATGAAGCGGGAAGATCGGTCGAGGTACACTAGTCAGGAAGGTCTGGATGAGTGAGAAAGATCATGGAGAGGAAGCAATGGAGGAAGAGTGCCCAGATAAGCAGGGAACCAAGTGAAGGATGTGAATCAGGAGTTAATGGACTGGAGAGAGTTAGTAGGAAAGAATCACAATTGGGAAAGAATCACTAGTTGAGACTCTACAGAAAGGACTTGAGTCACTACAGAAAGGACTTAACAGACCAAACAGATCAGAAGAAGCCACTGAAGGTGGGCCTGGGAGAGAAGGGCCAGTACAAAAGAAAGACCCCTGGTGAAGAGCCAATAGGAAACGAGAGCCACTGGAGGAGGTGGAATCAGTTAAGAAAGGACCAATGAGGGAAGTGCACCATTAACTGAAGGACCAATAGGAAGAGAAAGCCAATGGAGAAGAGCAGGGCTGGTTAAGAAAAGGCCAACTGTGAGGCGGTAACTGATCAGAATGAACCAATGGGCGAGGACTCAGTGAAGGATAAATTAACGGCCAAGAGGGGTAAGTAGTGGGAAAAGGTCCTGTAGGTCAACCAGAAGGATTGAAGAAGATGGGGACTATGCATAAGAGACAAGCAGAGGCAGAACCTAAGAGAAAGGGAAAACCACTCGGAAATAATTGGTGGAGAAGTGATGACCAATGAGGAGGTCAGGCCAATAGGAAGTAAGAATGCTGGGAAAGGGACTGGTGAGGAGGCAGTGGCACTGGGAATGGGTTCTAAGCACAGGAGGGAAACAGGAAGAAAGAAAGGACCAGTGGAAAGTAGGGACTCGGAGTAGGCAGGACCAGTGGGGCTGGCGGGCAGCCCAGGTGCTGTGGGAAGGGTGGGACACGGTGTGAGCCTGGCCCATCTCTCTCCTGGCAGGTGTTTTCCCTGACACCATCCAGTGTGCCTACGTCCAGTTAGTGTCGCGGGAGGTGTGCGAGCATGCCTACCCTGGCCAGATCACCAGGAACATGGTGTGTGCCGGAGACCAGAAAGAAGGGAAGGATGCCTGCCAGGTGAGGCCGCCCGGACACCAAAACAGAGACCAGGAGAGAGACTCCGGCCCCAACACAGAGACACGGGCAGAGGACACACAGAGATAAAAAGATAGAAAACAGAAAGTACAGAGACACCAAGAGCCAGAGGTGAAAGGGAACTGTTTGTCTCCTGAGCCCCAATGCCAGCCCTGTTTAAAGTGGCTGCATCCTGGAGGAGGGGCCCCCACTGGAGAGAGGGGGTGCCACCCCCACTCCTACATGCCTCCAGTGTGAGTCCCCTTCACTGTTCTCCATCCGGTCTCTCCTCTTTATGCCAAAATGACCAAAGCACTGAAAGTCATGCACCCAAAGGAACAGGAGGGACACCAAGAAAGCGATACACAGCAATTGGCAAGCAGAGCAAAGGCGGGCAAAGAAAGGCCGTCCACAGGATGCCTGGTGGAGGCTTTGTGCTCATCTCCCCCAGATCTCTGTGCTTCCCTCCTCTTGCCCCGTGTCTTGTGTATTTTTGTTATGTGTGTGTGTGTGTGTGTGTGTGTGTGTGTGTGTGTTGTTCTCAGGAGTGAACCCAGGAGCCTGGCACTGAGTTACATCCCCAGCCCTTTTTATTTTTTCAAGGCAGGATCTTCCTAAGTTGCCCACATGGGCTCTGAACTTGTGATCCTCCTGCTTTAGCCTCCCAGAATCTAGCATTGCAGGCCTGTGACACCCTGCCTGGATGTCGTTATTTTATGCCTCTTCCCCATTGCTCTCTCCCCTCTGCACCCCACCGCCCCTCTCCATCTCCTTTCTTTCTCTCCGTGTTTTCTTTCTGTCCGGACCTTTCTGGATGTTGGTGTTCCTGCCTGTTTCTCTGCACCTTTGCATCTCTTCGTGTACATGTTTGTCTACCTCTCTCTCCTCCGTCTCTGAATTTCTCCACCCCTCCTCTCTTCATGGCTCTGTCTCTGGGTTTCTGCAGCTGACTTTCTCTCTCTTTCCCACAGGGTGACTCAGGGGGCCCACTGGTATGCGGAGGCCTCCTCCGGGGCCTGGTGTCATGGGGTAATGTCCCCTGTGGATCCAAGGAGAAGCCAGGAGTCTACACTGATGTCTGCAGATATGTCAGCTGGATCCAAAGAATCATTCGAGGCGACTGACCCTGACATGCACATCCAACTCTTGCTCTGTGACCCCGCTGGCTGGCTCCAGAATCTCTGTCCCTAGACCTCACCTTCCTGCCCCACCTGCCTGATCCAGCCCCCGATGCTTCATGAAGGGAGTGACACGAGAAAGAGCACCCATTCTCCCTGGTTGTCCCCCAGCCCCACCCTCAGTTCCCCGGGAGAGGGGATAGGCAGAACATGGGTTGCTGCCCGAACTCCAAGGATACAAGGAGAGCCCTCTTCCTGCCTGTCATGCCACAGGGCTGTTTCCTTCCCAGAGATGCAATTCCAGCTCTGCTACTTGCTGTCTGTATCCCCGTGGGAAATGTCTCACACACAGTGTGAGTTTCCTCATGTGTAAGGTTAAGACAATGCTAATACATTCCTCTCCAGAGCCTGGCTGTTGGGAGGATGAAAAGCTTCAAGCACAGGAAATGCACAGAACGGCGCCTGGCCCCACCACACACCCAATAAAAGGTGGATTTTATCACGATGATGCTTTTAGCTTTTATTTCACTTGGGCCTCTTGGAAGCACAGATGCTTCTCAGTTTGCTTTTCTGAGGAAAGTGGATTCCCACTCCCTCTGGGGAAGCCCGTGCACTCATCCGCCCTGTGCTAGGGCTCAAGGTGACTCTCTTGAGGTCACTGTGGAGCAGCAAGGGGTTGGGAGTCACTGTGTGCAGGGAGAGAGGGAAGGGAGATGAGGTGCAGAAGGGCAGCAGGGGGCCAGACTCCAGCGGGCCTCAGGCACTAGCCTGAGAGACTAGAGTTTCTCCCAAGGGTCACAGGGAGTCAGGGGAAGGCTATAAGCCAAGCAAGCAGGATGGACCAGATGGGTGAGGCTGTCGCTGGGAACCAGCGAAGGTTTGGCGTGATGGTGCAGGGCGAAGAGATGGAGGCTGAGGCCGGCTGGTAACAGGATGGCTGAAGAAGGGAGGAGGCTATGAGTTCACCACACGGAGAAGACCAAAGCACCGTCACTGTCAGGCAACAGCAGAGAGAAGAGCCTAGATTGTGAGGGCTCCCGCAGCCACCCTGGACTGTGAAGGCTGGAAATGTGGATCAGTAGAGGATGATGGCATTGAGGGCCTGAGGACTCTCAGAAAATAAGAAAAGAAAAGAAAAAGAAAGAAAAGAAAAGAAAAGAAAAGAAAAGAAAAGAAAAGAAAAGAAGAGAAAAGAGAAGAGAAGAGAAAAGAAAAGAAAAGAAAAAAAAAGAGAGAAGAAAAGAAAAAAGAGGGGCTGGGGATTTAGCTCAGCGGCACAGCGCCTCCCTGGCAAGCGCAAGGTCGTGAGTTCCATTCCCGGTACAGGAAAAAAAAAAAAAAAAGAAAAGGACAAGGCCTGACCTATTGGAAAGAATTTAGATCTTTGTCTTAAGAATTAAAGAGATGTGGGATTTCATCACAGGGCCAAGGCGGGTGGAAGGGGTTGGCTCTTGTGGATGGACAGACAGAGGGAGTCACGGATATGGCCCTGGCTGCCTTGCCCAACCCTCTCAAGCAGTTATGAATGGGAATGAGGCTGTGAACATCCCGGGGTCTTCAAAGTCACCTCCAATTAAACGAGTGGGAATTGTCTTCCTTCATGGAGAATACAGATGGTGACATATCCAGAACCATAGTAACACTCATAACAATTTAAAAACACTTATTAGCACCTGCCAGGCACTATCATAAGAATTTTTACATACAGTAAGTCATTTGATCTTCATTAGCATGTCTTTCAGTGTTGTTCCCATTTTATAGGTAGGGAAACTGAATCATAGAGAGCCCATGGTATAGCCGAAGTTCTACCTGATAGGTGCCTAAGTTAGAATTTAAACACCAGGAGTCTGGTGCACTAAATTTTGTTCCTAACTGCTCTTCAGCACGGAAGCCTTCTTTTAATTCCAACATCCTTTAGGATCAAACACAGAAAGGTTTAAAGGTCACCCCCTTAGCTCACCCTGTTTGTGAAAGACGATCTCCACACATTTGGCGTTTGAGAAGCTTGCATGTCTAAGAGGATTTTTCCTGCAATAGGACAGCCCTGTGAGTTTAACATTTGCAATTTGTTTATGTGTGCTTTTTAAACTGGAATTATGCCAGGTTTGGAGTATTTGAAAGAATGTGACATTGATTGCATTTATAAATGCAATTTACTTCCTTCCTGAATTGCTCTGGACATTTGGTCTAAAAACTAAGAGACTTCCAAAAGAGATTAAATGCGTTGGTTTGAGAAATGTAGTTTAAAACATGCGAAGGCACTGGAATTAACTTGGCATGTAAAGGGGCCAAGCAAAACCCTGTAAAGATGCCAAAAAAGTAACTGTTACTGTACCAAGAATTAAATGTTTGTAAGCTGAACTTTAGAAGACCACAGAAGTGGGGAGGGAAATAGCAGGAAAGAATAGATTGCTAATCAGGCCACTTTAATGTACAAAATATCAATGCACATACATCAAAATAAGCCTCAAAGTAGGCTTGGATTTTAGGTTTTATTTTTTTTTTTCCTGTGCACCAAAACCAACCACAGGACTCTAAAACCTACCACCGGACAGGTGCTGGGTCGTCTACCTGAGTGAGACTTGGTTTCTGGCCTCGGGGGACCAGGGCGCAGCGAGGACAGCACCCTGAGTCTTTGTCGTTTTGTCTGGGTCAGATCTGTGTCTGGCCCCTGCCTGACACAGCTATCTATGGCTCTCCCTCCCAGTGAGGAGAAACCTGGCAGAGAGCTGGGGCCAACAGAAACCAGAAGCTGAACAAACACAGACAGGACGGGTGGCCCTCATCACCACCGCTCAGCTCCCAGCCCGATGCCCCATTTCCCAAACGGCAGAAGCCACCACCTCCATGTTGGCTCTGGCCCTCTTTTTCCATTAACAGGTGGCCCTGCCCAGTACCGTCACCCACGCTTGGCCACGCCAGGCATCAGGTGGGCCAAGGCACCGGCAGGGCCCCCAGGCTGAGCCTTATGTCTGTCTGTCCCCTGGCCTGCACCCTGGGGAAGGGGACAAGAAGAGGGACTTGGGAGGGGGAGGCTCTCTGCAAGGCCACCTGGATCTCCCCTGCCCCCAAAGCAGGACACAGAGAAAGAGAGACAGAAAGATACAGGAAGAGCAAAGCAGAGAGCCAATGGGGATAGAGAGAGGACAGAGAGAGACAGACAGACAGACATGGGTTCAGTGGGTTGCAAATATTGAGAGACTCAGAAAGTTTCCGTGGGAAAAGAAAACTCAGAGCTCTGATAGATGAGTCTGAAAAGCAAACGTGGAGAAAGAAGTAAGGAGAGAGACGGAGAAAGGCAGAATGAACGAAAAGAGCAGAGAAGAAAGAAATCTGTGCTTGTGCCTGGAGAGCGCCCAGAGGGGGTGAGAAGCCCTGAACAGCCAGTCCCCATCTCAGGAGACCCCTCCTCATCCCGAAGCCAGGCTGGCCGGGAGTGGCGCGGGGCTGGGGGCGGAGGGGGGAGGAGGCGGGACGAGCGATTACGGGCAGACTGACAGACTGACGGGGCGCCTCACTCCCCGGGAATGCGCCCCGGGGACCAGTGGGCGGTTATAACCCAGGGCCTGCAGGAGCTGAGAAGGAGGCTTTGGCAGGAAGGCAGCACGGGCTGAGGAGTCTGCAGCTGAGCCGGAAGCCAGCTCCTCACCCCAGACAGACGAGGCAGGTGAGCTGGGCCGGGGGTCCCGCGGCAGGCCGGGAGAGGTGCCCCAAGTCTGGCCGAATGTGGGGTGCACCCTGCGTCCCGGAGGAGGGCTGGCAGTGCTGACGACCTCTGCTCCCCATTAGAGGGCCCTGGGTCTCAGCTAAGCACTGAGGATGGCTGGGACCTTGTGTCAATACCCCGGGGCCTCCCTCCGTCCCCAAACACAAGGCAGGACAGGGAGGGAAGTGGGCTGAGACGCCCAGAGCCACCTCTGCATCCTGTCTCCCGCAGGTGCAGCAGCCATGGGTCGAGCAGCAGACCCCTGGATGTGGATGCTGGGCGCCCTGATCATGGCCCTGATTCTGGGGGCCACAGGTAACCGAGACCCTGGTGGGCATGCGCAGGACAGGGGGTGGCTGCCTGTGTGGACCCGACGGCTTGTCCCGTCCGTATTTGTAAGTGTGCATCTCTGTGGGGCCCCGTGACTGCCCGCACTTGTACTCGTGTGCTTGTGTGCGTGCCTGGTGCCGGGTCAAGCGCTGTGACACAGCAGTGGAGCTGGCCCTCTGAGGCTTGTGCGCGACTGGGGGTGTGTTCCCTAAGACTGTGTGCGGCTTTACAACCATGTGGGCGTGTGCGGCCCCAGGAAAGCTGCTGCGTGTTTGGCTGAGTGTGGCAACGCGGCTTTGTGTACCCCTGCAGTGTCTGAGCCTCTCCTTGTCCTGGTCCCTCTGTCGTGGGACTAGTGCAGCAAAATATGTGACAGTGTGCTTGCGGCAGCCGTTTGTGACCGCGTGATGTGGCTGGCGCCTATATCTGTGCCCTTGTGATGCCTGCCTGAGACTTTCTGTCCAGCGACAGGACGTGACTTTGTTTATATGAGGTTGTGTGAAGTCGCTGTGTATCTGGGCCTCCAGGCCCTACCTGAAAGGACCGAGTGTCCAGAAGTGGCTGTCACCATGACCGGGAAGGTGACCTACTGGCGCCATGACGTGCTGGGTACGGGCGCCCAAAGGTCCACTGAGCGTGACCCTGTCGCGTGTCACAGCGCTTGTGTGAACGCACGGGGCAGTCTCACCTCCGTGCACCCCCAGCAACCGTGCATGTCGCTGGGACTCCGGATGGGTGTGTGAGGCTCTGCAGGCCGCTCTGCGTGTGCCCAGACGGCTGTGTAACGTGCAAGGATGTCTGTGCCTCAGTTGCGTGTGCCCGGCCCTGACCACGACTGTGCGGCTGGAATGTGTTTGGGATGGAGATGATGCCAAGACTTCATTCTCCGGGGCATCGGCAAGAACAGCAAGCGTCGCTGGCCGGTGGGAGGACCGATGGCCGGGCAGATGTGGGGGTCTGCGGGTCTGTGCGGCGCCAACGCGCTGGTAGGAGGATCTGAGTCTCAGAATTAGAAAGCTGCCCTGCTTGTCTTCTCCTTGTAGTGCCCTTTTAATGGTTCTGCGCCCCCAACTCCAACTCCGCCCCTATCTCTGGCTCCGCCCCTTTCTTGGCCACTCCCCTGGGCCATACTCTCTTCTCTGGTTGGATCCCTGGGCTGCACCCGCCTTCCAGGCCCCGCCCCTGCCCCACCCCTTTCAGCCAGGCTCCACCCCCTTGCTGTGGTGCTCCTAAATCCACCTCCCCCCTTTCCTTTTCTGGGATCGAACCCAGGGTCTTGTGCATGCAGGTCAAGAACTCCACCAGTGAGCCACATCCCAGCCCAGTCAGGGCTCTTACCTGACAGATCATCGGATTATCGCAGTGACCTGGTTTTGTCCCCGCCCAGAGCCATTCCAAGCCCCTTGCTCATCTCAGGCTCTGCTGCCTCCAGCCCTGACACTTCTCACTGAGGCCTGACCCACTTCCTAACACTTGGCCCTATCCCTAAAGCCCTAGTCTGCTCCCCCACCGCCTTCTGAGCCCCAGCCCAACCCCATCCGCAGCTCTACCCCACCGCACCCCCAGCTCGTCCCATCCCATTCCATCCCAGCCCTACCCAAACCCGGAACTCCCCAACCATCAACATGAGCATTCTCAACCGGGCGTGGTAGCGCAGCACGTCTGTAATCGCAGCACTCAGGAGGCTGAGGCGGGAGGATTGTTTCTAGCTCAAGGACAGCCTGGGCTACAAAGTGAGCTCTAGGCCAGCCTGAACTGCGCAGCGAGACCCTGTCTCAAAAAGACAAAAAAAGTGTGGGGAGGGAACCGAATTTAAATATGGGCCATAAACAGACAATTCATAGGGAAAGAAAAAAAAAATGAGCATTGTCAACCCCAGACTATCCACCCTCAGCCTGAATCACCCCCACCCCAGCCTGGAGTACGACATGGCTAACCCATAAAACTCGAACCAACTCCACCCTCAATTTTACGTCAGAGCCCAACCCTAGACCCTTCTCAACTCCATCTTTATTTCCGCTGCATCCCAAACCTCCCTTAACCCGCACTTCTGAGTTCTAACCTGCAGTTCTGAGCCAACCCTAATTCTGTCTCCACACTGAGCCACATCCTAGCATGCACTTCCCTTCCTCCCTTCCTTCCTTCCTTCCTTCCTTCCTTCCTTCCTTCCTTCCTTCCTTCCTTCCTTCCTTCCTTCCTTCCTTCCTTCCTTCCTTCCTTCCTTCCTTCCCTCTCCCTTTCTTTTTTCTTTCCTTCCTCCTTTCTCCTCTATCTTTCTTTCTTTCTTCCTTTCTTTTTCTTTCTTTCTTTTGAGACAGGGTCTCACTAAGTCCGGAAACTGCCCAAACTGAACTCACAATTGGAATCCTCCTGCCTCAGCCTCCCAGTGTGCTGTACCATCACTCTGGGCTTGGGCCCTGTTCTCTAGGCTCCACCTCCATAGACCTGACTGGGCCCCACACCCTTGGCCCCACCCCGAATTCCTGGCCCCTCCCACACCACACCACAGTCCCCCCCAGCCCACCTCCCCTCCTCTGAAGTCTAAGCCCCGCCCTGAGCCCACCCGGCCCATTTCTGCCCTCAGAGCCTGTCCTTGCGAATGACATCTCCTGTGACAACCCCTCGGCCACCACCGGGTCCTCCGAGTCATCGGACAGCAGCCGGGACCTCGGAGGCGAGGCCGAGGCCGGGGAGGACACCAGGTCCGAGGACGACGACAGCAGCAGCCGCATCGTGAACGGGTCAGACTGCGAGACGGACTCGCAGCCCTGGCAGGGCGCGCTGCTGCTGGCGCCCAGAAAGCTGTACTGCGGGGCGGTGCTGGTGCACCCTCAGTGGCTGCTCACGGCCGCGCACTGCCGGAAGCCGTGAGTGGGGCGGGGCGGGGAGGCCCGCACGGCGGGACCGAGACAGGGGTTGGGGAGAGATGGGGGGCACGCCGGGGCGGGGCTGCCTTGGGCGTGGGAGTCGGGAAGGGCTGGGTGTGGGGGCGGAAGATGCTCGCGTCTGTGTCCAGTGGTTCGGCATGGAGGTGGGACCGAGATTGGCTTTGAAATGGGGGTGGAGCAGGATGCAGGGAAGCTGCGGGGGGACCGCGCTAGGGCTGGGGTCAGAGAGAGATGCCGGGCTGAGGAGAGCGCTGCGCTTAGGGTTAGGAAATGGGGGTAGGCGGCCGGGCTGCAGTCGGCGCGACTGGATTTGGGTTTGGGGACGCACACGCGGGGGATGGGTGGATTGTGAACGATGAGGACTGAGTCGGATTGGGCTTGGAGTTGGAGGGGGCCCCACTGGGGGCTAGGCGTCTGTGTGTCCATGATTGGCTCTAGAACTGGGGGTGGAAATAACGGTGGAGTTGAGATCAGGCTAGGAGCGGGAAGAGATAGAATTCAGGATGGAGTTAGATTTGAGTCTGTGGCGTTAGTGATGGCCACGCCCAAGGCTGGGGATTGAGGAGGGACTGGATATTAGCTCTGGGGCCATTGGTCAGCAACCGGGACCTCGGGAAGGGGATGTTCGTAAGCTCTGAGGTTGATGACTGGGGGATTTCACGTTGGGGGAGGGGAGGGCTGGTTGTGCCAGGTTGGAGGTGTGGTAGGACACGGGTCAGGGATGGCGTTGGGCTAGCGTTGAGGCTAGGGTGCAGCTGGGCTGGAATGAGCACCGGATATGGGCACAAGGACCAGGGCTCATGGTGACCCCCTACTGTCGTCCTCAGAGTCTACAGGGTCCGTCTCGGCCACCACTCCAGGTCTCCCGTCTATGAATCTGGACAGCAGATGTTCCGGGGAATCAAATCCATCCCCCACCCTGGCTACTCCTACCCTAGCCACTCCAACGACCTCATGCTCATCAAACTGAACAAAAAAATCCGCATCAGCCACTCGGTCAAGCCTATCAACATCTCCTCCCACTGCCCATCCGCCGGGACCCAGTGCCTAGTGTCGGGCTGGGGCACCACCAGCAGCTCCCAGCGTGAGTCCGGGTCCCTCCTGGCACCCACCTGCCTCTGCCCCTCTCTGCGTATCTCTGCCCCTCACTGTGTTACCGTTTGATAGACAACTTCCCCAAGAAGCTCCAGTGCCTCGGTGTCAAAGTGCTGAGCGAGGAGAAGTGTAAGGATGCCTACCCGGGACAGATAGATGACTCCATGTTCTGCGCTGGTGACAAGGATGCCAGAGACTCCTGTCAGGTGAGAGCCAGACGCTGGGCTTATTAAGCACCAGGAAGCCAGTGATGGCTGAGTTAGGGCTCCGGATCTCACCAGCTCAGATTCTGGAGCAGCAGTGCCCACAAAAATAGGATGTGAGCCTGCACATGTGATTTAAATTTTCTAATAGCCACAGCTTAAAAAGTAAAAAGAAAAAAAGCCAAGCATGGTGGCACACACCTATACTCCTAGCTACTTAGGAGGCTGAGGCAGAAGGATCGAAAGTTCAAGGCCAGTGTGGTCAACTTAACGAGACCCTGTCCCAAACTAAAAATTAAAAAGGGATAAAAGATAGGCCCCTGGGTCTCCAGTACTGCAAAAATACTACTGATAAAACAGGTAAAAGTCACATCAATACTTTTATTTAATTCAGTATCTCCCAAAATATCATTTCAAAAGGTAATTGATCTAAAACAGTTACAAAGGAGATAGTTTGTCTTCTGGGATTTTTCCATGTTGTCTTTGAAAGCCGGCATGTACTTTACACTGGCCCGGTGGCCCAGTTTCAGGAGTTCAGAAGCTCCGTGTGGCTGCAGGCCACTGTGTCAGATGGCACCTGCCTGGAAGGAGAGAACGAGGCTGTTCTGACGGTGGGACAGGGTGTACACCGCATTAAGATTTCATGTCTGCAGGGAATCTATATGACGACGTCTTTCCAACAAATGCTAAGGGAAAGCTTGAGGAAGGACTCAGCGTGCTAGGTACTCGATGAGGAGAGGATCTTGTACAGGGACAGTTGCTGGAAGAGCAAAAGAAAGCCAATTTAGGGTCAGCAGACTCTCCAGAGAGTGGTAAGGACAACCTGAAAATAAGACATGGCTTCAGTGTAATAAATAGCGAAGCAGTATTCACACATGTGGGGGAAGTGGCATTGTGCAGGGGCTGAGTCGCTCCAAGAAGCCAGATCCATGAAGGTGCGGGAGACAGGGGGAAACACATGTGGAAAGGCCCTGAGGCAGGAAGGAGGTTAACTGCTGAGAGGAGCGGAAGAAACAAGCATTTCTGAGAAACCGGATGTGGGGACAGGAGCTGAGGCTGAAGAGGTGAGTGGCAACCAACATTTAACAAATATTTCTTGGTTGCTAAAGCAAAGTGTTTCTGTGTCTCATGGAATCCCTCTTGAGGAAGACAAGTTAAAACTGTTTTTATTTTATATTATGATCAGTGTTCCTGAGATAGGGTCACACTATACAGTCCAGGCTGGCCTTGAACTATGGAGCTGAAGTTGGCCTCCAACTTAACAATCCTCCTGCCTCAGCCTCCTGAGTGCATTTGAGGTCCTAGGTGTGCACCACCAAACCTGGCCAGAAGTTAAAATGAAACAACCACCGGACGCCTCTCCTGCTCAGGTGGCCCTGCAGGATGTAAGGGAGTCAGGCTCCGATCGTTCTCAGGGTGCATTTCATTCGTAGTCTGGTGCCTGTTGGCTTAGTGAGCCGTGAACTCAGGTAGAGCCAGTCTCCTTCTGATGGCTGTGAAAAGCCCCACACAGGCCCTCAAGCCAGCTGGGAAATTGCAGGATTTTAAACCATGAAGCGTTCTGTGGTCCAGGTGGGTGTCTTGCTTTGCAAGAACTAAAGGTGCCCTTTCCAAGCAGTGTGTGGCCTGGGTGTGACCACTACCTGCCACAAGCAACAAGACTAAATAAAAGCACAGGTCGCGGTAGCAGGGACTGCTCACTGGACACTAACTCATTGTCAATACATTTAACCACCATTATTAGCCTTACTTTATGGCCAAGACTCAGGAAGGTTAACTAATGGCCTCCCATAACATCTCTGTAGTAACTTAAACAAAAACGAATGAGAAAGGCCCAGCACTCCTATAATTCCAGTTAATCAAATCAAAAATTAGAGCCCAGAAATGAAAATCAAAAATTAGAGCCCAGAAATGAAAGCACAGCAAAGTTGCACTGCGGAGGACCTCTGGTTGAGAAGCATCCACTGCAGAAGAGGATGGGGCAGCAGCCAGGCCTCCTGCTCCCAAGGGCAGACTTTCAGGAACATGAATACGACAGCAAGGAGAGCCGCTGTCAGAAAAGACAGGGGCTCTCCCCTGTAATTACAGGGGAGCATGGGGAGCTGGGAACAAGCAACTCCACTAGTCCAAGGGAGCGGTTCGCAGTGCAGGTGATTCTGTCCCTGGGGGCAGAAGGCCTAAGGACCCCTTTGGAGTCACAGCTGCAGGGAGAAAGGACCCCAGGTCAGGTGGTAGGAGCCCCAAGACTCTGCTGAATGCCCCCCAATGCACAGGGCAGAGCCATAGCCCTCTCATCCAGCCCCCAGGCAGGGTTGATGTTCGCTGAGTGTGGTGGCACAGACCTATGATCCCAGCACTCTGGTAGGCTGATGCAAGAGGACTGCAAGTTCTAGCCCAGCCTGGGTAATTTAGTGACTTACCAAGACCCAGCCTCAAAATTTTAAAAAAAAAATTTTTTTTTTTTTTTGTTTCAAAAAGCTAAGGTGGGGAAAAAAAAAGGCTGGGATGGTTGCAGCTCAGTGTGAAGGAGGTTCAATTCCCAGTACAAAAAATAAACTGGGATGAACTTGTGTCCAGGATGCGGGGAGAGGGTGTCAGCAGGGCAGGGTGTTGAGGAGGAAGAATAAACCACCCAGAGGTAGAAGGGAGAGCGAGAGAGAACGAACGGGCAGAGACACGAGAGACCTATGAGACCGGGGGATGTGGACTGGTCCTGACCCCGGGGAATGACGACGTGTGGACAAAGGGGTGTCCAGGAAGACAGCCTGGGAGGGAAGAGGGGGACATCCGGGGCCCTGGACATCCGGGGCCCCGGACACAGGGTAAAACCTTCACATTGCTCTCCCTCCTTCTATATCTGCCTCTGTCCATGTCTGCACTGTCCTGTGTGTCTTCTCGGTCCCTCTGTCTGTGTGTGGCTCGGGTCTCTGTGCCTCCCTCTCCCCGCAGGGTGACTCCGGGGGCCCTGTGGTCTGCAACAGCTACCTGCAGGGCTTGGTGTCCTGGGGTGACTTCCCCTGTGCCCAGCCCAACAGACCAGGCGTGTACACCAACCTCTGCCGGTTCAAAAAGTGGATCCACACCACCATCAAGAACAACTGAGTCCCCCAGGCCCAGAGACACCGGCATCTCCACTGCTGCAGGGCCACGCTCACCTTCCCGAGGACGCCAAGGACCGACTCCTCGGCTCTGGGTCAGGACGCCCTTCCCGCCAGCGGGACCCTAAGGACAGTTCCCAGAATATCCAGGGCGGGATTATATCTCCTACCTCCAGCCCAGAGCATCCATTGCAACTTTAACCATGACCCAAATTCAGTTCCTGAAATAAAACATCTCAGAAGTGGCCTCTGAGTGTGTCCCCTCCCTGCGCCGCCAGCCGCTAACCCCTCTGCGGTTGGCGTCTGCTCTTTCCAGTCCTCTGCTGAAGAGACTCAGCGTTACCCAAGCCGCTTGGCATTTCCTTCACGAATACTGACCTGTGGTGGGTAACACAGACCAGCACTCCTGCCTCGTGGAGCTTGGGGTCAGGTAGTGGAAGACAGAAAGTAAAGACGTCGATACATCCGTATGTACAGTCCTTACACAAGCCCTGAGCCACATAAACAAAATGAGAGCGGAGCGTGAGGAAGAGGAGGGGTGCTGGGGCCATGGGATCTCTTTATGTTGGGGTGGCACTCCGGCAGCCCCCCAGACATGCCCAACTCCCCATTTCTAGAACCTGTGAATATGTCATCCTATTCCTCAACTTACAATGCTTGACTCACAACCATTTTTACATTAAGGTAGTGTAAAAGAAATGTGCATTTTTGGAAACCATATTTCTCTGAGTAGCTGAGGCAGGTGGATTGCAAGTTTGAGCCCAGCCTGGGCAACTTAGTGACTTAGTGAGACCTTGTCTCAAAATAAAAATAAATAAGTAAGTAAATAAATAAGATAAAAAAAAGGCTGGAGGTATAGTTCAGTGCAATGGGCCCTGGATTCGATGCCCAGTACTGAAACAGCAGAAAGAAGGAAAACAAGAGAGGAGAGGAGAGGAGCGGGGAAGGGAGAAGAGGAGAGGAGAGGACAGGAGAGGAGAGGAGAGGGGAGAGGAGAAGAAGAGAGGAGAGGAGTGAGGAGGGGAGGAGAGAAGAGAGGAGAGGAGAGGGGTGGGGAGGAGAGGAGTGGAGAGGAGAAGAGGAGAGGAGAAGAGGAGAGGAGAAGAGAGGGGAGGGGAGGAGAGGAGAGAGGAGAGGAGAGGAGAGGAGAAAAGAGGGGAGGGAAGGGGAGGAGAGGAGAGGACAGGGGAGGGGACGGGAGGGGGAAGGGAGGGGGAGGGAAGGGGAAGAGGGGAGAGAAACCACACTTCAAATTGTGCACGCCGTGTCTTCCTGAGCTGTCAACTGTGAGTCAGGCAGAGGTGGCGAGTCCCAGTGCCCACTCAGCCGGGAGACTACCAGACAGAAGGTGACAGAAGGTAGGGGCCAGCGGGCCTCACTGCTGAGCGAGGACGTCAGGTAGGTGACGCTGTTAGGCGCATTCTTATCTACAACATTGTCAACATGCGATGGGTTCACTGGGCCATCACCCAGCAGAAGTCGAGGGCATCTGTTTAGCAAAGGGACTCCGCAGATGTGATTAAGTAGAGGTCTGAGAAGGGCAGACATCTTGGGTGGCCTGGGAGGACCGGGTCAATCCCGAGAGCCCTTACATAAGCGAGGCAGGAAGGCTGGGATGAAGGAGACTGGAAGACCCTGCAGTGCTCATTCAGAGCATGGAGGAGGGGGCCCTGAGCCCAGAAATGCAGGGCTTCTAGAAGATGCAAGGGCACTGGACAAGAGCCTGCCGGGGCCTCTGAAGGGAACTGGATATGGACAAGATCTGCACCCACGGGCTCCAGAAGGAAGCAGCCAGGGCCGCTCCTTGGTTTCTCCCCAGTGAGGCCCATTTTGGCTTCTGACCTCCAGAAGAGAATCCATCTGTGCTGTTTCAAACCCCTAAATTTGCAGTGGTTTGTTCCAGACACCATACAAAGCTAATACAAAGGTCCTCTTTGAGACTGCGGCCTGCAGGACAGAGAATGATGGGCCTGGTGGCACTGGTGACCAAGAAGGGCACTGACACCTCTGGCAGAGAGAAGGACAGGCACCTCCTCCCTGAGGCTGCAGCAGTCCGGGCTTCTCTGTCTGCTCTCCCTACAGGCTGGCAGTTTTCAAGTCCGATGGTGGTTTGTGCTCCGAGATCATCCTGATTCTGGGAGGGTGAAAAGAGCAGTTTACTGGCCAGGGGAGGAATGGGAAGGGGCCGATCTGAGGAATATCCATGGGTTTAAAGAGGTGAAGGACAGCGCAGGATCTCCAGCTCTTCTCTTGGGATTGTTTGCTTACTTTCCCCAGAGGGCATCCTCTGGGTCCTCCTCAAATCGCTCACACAGCTGCTGGAGGAGCAGCTCCTCCCTCCCTAACAGCTCACAGGAGAGAAAGTGTGATTGCTGTCCTTGGGTCAGGTGCTGAATCTGTGTCCAATCAGCTAGGGCCCAGAAAGGTGGGGACACATTCTACCACGTGGATCCCTCATGCACATCAACGGACAGGGCAGGCCATCAAAGGAGCACCTGCTGGAGACACACATTTGAGGCTTCAGCACACCTTGAGTGGTCTCTATAACGTCTTGAGGTTCTGTATCCATACAATGGGAGGGTTGGAATGTAATGATCTCCATGTGCTCAGCCAGCTCCAAGAGTCTGCAGTGTACTCAGGGCTACATGCAGAAAGTCATTGCAGGGAATACCTAGAAATTGAATGCCCTAGAAGAAGAATTATGTGAGAGACGCCTATCAGGAACAAAACACCCAACTGAAGTGCATTAAATAATAAAGAAATTTATTATCTCACATAACAAGAAGCCCAGAAAGAAGGCAGTGAGGTGATTGGTGTGGTTCATAAATGACATCATTAGGAACTCATCTCTTCTCCACCACCCTTTGCATCCAGCCATTCATCCATTCACTCAACTATGAGCACCTCCAAGAGCCACATTATATTACAACCACCCAGGGTAGAGTAATCGACAAAACAGAGAACCCAGTCCCTGCCTTTCTTGGGCTTATATTTTAGCTGAGGGAAGAAGACATGTCAGCTCTCTCCTTCAAGGGTTGTAATCTCATCTTTGTAAAATGACTGCCAAAGCTCTAGGCATCACATCCTTGCACACCATAACAAAGACAGAAAGGAAATGTTCTCAAAGCAAGGTTCTGTTTGTTAGAAAATAAAGTTTCCTAGAATTACCCTCCCTTACCTTATCCTTGGGTCTCAATGCCCAAGCTCTATCTCCAAAAGAAGCTCAAAAATGAGTTTCTGATGCTTCTCTAACAAGAGAACAAGTCATTGTTTTCAACCAAGAAAAGAAGAAGAGAAATAGGCACCATGGCACATACCTGCAGTCCCAGCTACTGAGGTCAAGGAAAGAGGCTCACCTGAGCCCTGGAGTTCAAGACCAGTCTGGGCAACATACTGAGGCCCCTATCTCAAAATAAAGGAAGGAAGCCAGGTGTGGTGGTGCACACCTGTAATCCCAGCACTTGGGAGGCTGAGGCAGAAGGATCCTCATGAGTTTGAGGCCAGGTTAGGCTACATAAGTGAGTTCAAGGCCAGCCTAAACTACATAATAAGACCTGCCTCAAACAGATACACACACACACACACACACACACACACACACACAATCAAAATAAAGGAAGGAAGGGAGGAAGGAAGGAAGGAAGGAAGGAAGGAAGGAAGGAAGGAAGGAGGGAGGGAGAGAGGAGGAGGGAGGAAGTGGTTGTTGAGTAAACGGTCCATGTTTTGAGAGAAAAAACATTAATAGAAACAACCTAACAATAACTGTCATCAATATCGTTCCCCTCGTCCCCAGCCATTTGCAGTCTTGGAGACGGAAGGACAGTGATCTTGCTGGTCACCAACCCAGCGATTACCACCCAGTCTGCTGTGACAGGCAAACTTCGTCCAATGCTGATTGCTGCCTGCAAGCAACAGTAAGGCCGGTGGTACAGTGCAAAAGGGCAAATCGCACTGACTTGACCCTGGGTGACAGTTAAAACAGGAAGAGGGGACGAGGAGGAGGAAGATAAGAGAGCAAGATTTTTGCTAAGGGGCAACTTGGAGCATGTTTCCCAAAATGCTGCACTAGTTAAGCTGCTTTGGGCAACAAGTCAAAGAAGATTCACATTGTCTCCAATAACGTCTTACCTCACGGCCCAAGAAATCCAGGCGAGGGCAGCTTCCTGCACATGGCGATGGGGCTCCTGTCCATTTCTGGCTGCTCCTTTTGGTTCTTCTGTGTGGGGTCAGGAAGGCTTTAGTGGGCCTCTCTCTGAGGAGGAGGACCTATTTCAAGAACCAACCCAGCAGAATTTTCTTCATTCTCATTGGCTAGAATTGGGTCACATGCCCTTAACTAAACCAATCAGAGGCTGAAGGATGAACCGAATGTGGTGGATTCGGACCAATCTGAATCTATCTTCTCAGATTGACAACAGAACCTCCCCTAAAACATAAAAGGCTAATCTGTGAATAAAGTTAGGACTCTCTTACCAAAAAAGGTGAACAAGAGAGATGTCGGGTAAGCCTCAGCTATTTCTGCCACAGATGCCTTTTCAGCAATATTTGCAATTAACTTTTTTATTGAAGGATGCAGAAATAGTGTGCACACAAATGTCATAATCTCTAGTGGATTTTGGCAGAACAAAACACACCCTGGTACCAGTAGCAGGATGGAGCAACAGAACACGACCAGGTCCCTAGGAAACCTAGTGGATTCTGCTGCCAGTCATGACCCTCCCTGGATATATACACTTCTATCATCATAAACTAGTTTTACCCATTTACAAACTATATAAATTGATTTCTGTGGATTTATAGAAATGTAATAAACTCATGTGAGTAAAATCGGGGTGTGTTGTTTTGTGTTTGGCTTCTTTTGCTCAGTATTATATTTGTGTAGCTCTTTGTCTCGGATTGTAAATGTTTTATTCCTGTTGCTGCTGGTTTACTACTGTGTAAGTGCGCTTTACCTCACCAGGACACATTTTTACCTTGGGCAGGCATTTGGCACCTCCTAGGTTTTTTAACAGCTATGAAAGGAAACATTTATCATAAAACTGGGGTGGGAGAGCTCAGGAAAAGTGGTGTTCCTGACTCTGCACCCGCCTGAGATGTAGGTATTGTCCCCAAGCTGCTTCTCGCTGCTGGCAGGGCCTGGATAGGTTCCACCTCAGGGTCAGGCTCCAGGGTAGGTGCAAGACTGGAAGGCAGATTGTGGGGCAAGAGGGAGGGGGGAGTGCTTTGTGAACTTGCTTGACTCTGGGC